TGAGTCAACCTTGAGCCGGTGAGATTTGAACCGCTGAACTGCAGATAACAGTCAGCTGAAGTGGCCTGCAGTACTGCACCCTAACCACTACGCCATCTTGGGATGGCCTGGTTGGCCTCCTGCACCATGGCAAGGGAGGCATTTTTACTTTTTTGAGCTTCTGGGAGGGCAAAAACAGCCTCCCTGGGTTCCAGAGGTCCTCTGGAGGCTAGAAACAGGCAAGTTTCTGGCCTTTTTGAACTTCCATTAGGCCATTTTTTGCCCTCCCCAAGCCTCCGTGCGCGTCCTGCACTTACCTGCATGGGGACTTCTGGGAGGGGAGGGGCAGGTGGGCAGGGCCAGCCAGGAGTGGGATTTGGGGGTTCTCCAGACTGCACAGAATCTTAGCTAGAGGTTCTCCCGAACCCCCTGAAGCCCACCCCTGCTTTAACTCCAAGAGTTTTGGCCACCTCTTTTGTTTTCTCCTCAGAAGTGCTCAGATTGTCTTGCAAAGCTTGCAAAGTAGACAATAGGTCTCTGAAAGATAAAGGAAGGGAAAAAGCAAGAAAGCTGTTTCATGATAAATTAGGGATGCTGGGGAACAAGAGAAAACAAGCTAACATGGGAAGACAGTGGGATTTCATATGGGACAGAGAAAAGAAAAAGATATGTGAGTGAATTTTGGCTGGTAGAAAATGGAGTGAGAGAATTGGTGGACCGATTTTGTAAGAGAGTGAACTGTTTAGGGATTGTAAAGGAATAGATTGGGTTTCTGCCCCTGAACTTCCACTTCTACCTTATATTCAGACTCTTGGTCAGGTTTTTAATCTTCCTATCCCTATCAGTTAGTCTTTCTATGAAATTTCTTTGACCACACTGATCATGGAAGACATTTGTGAATGGTCACACATTACCCAGAGCAGTTTCGGAGTAAAAATATCAGGGAGGGGGGAGGAAGGATACTTTGAAAGGTTTCTTAAAATTCTCCCCAATGTAGAGATGAGTCCTCTGTTCTAATACCACAACACACCTTAAGTATGCAAGATGTTTAGAAATGCATGCAAAACTGGCTTTAATCAGGATGCTATGCAATGAACAATACTATTCAATTCAATTTTATTGAACTACTATCCCAGATATCAGCATCATTATGAAAATAAAGACAACTTAGTTGCATATAATAAAGGTAATGCCTTCAGAACTAGCCAATATTCTTGTTTTTGTTTCAGATGTGGATGCCACAGTGAATTATGAAATCTCTAATGGGCACACGATAGTAATTACACAAGAAGCTATACAGAGAAATGTAAGAACTGTAGAAGACAGTGGTTCATTATCAGCAAAGGCAGCTGTTTCTGAAGAGAAAAAGGAGGACAAAAAAGGTATTTTAAATGCAATGTATCAGAATGTATATGCCCATTTCAAAATACAACCACCCAGTGTATATTATGAAAAATGAAAACAGACCTGTTTATAACTACAAAGGATAATGTGTAATTCAGTGGAGAAGAGACAGCAGTAAGAAAACTTAATTTCTGTTCAGAGCCAGACATTTTAAGTAACACATAAACTAAAAATTTGAGTTCACTATTGGAATGGGAGGAAAAGTGCTAGGTCTTAGAACAAGAGCAGATTTCTGATTGTCCTCCAGCAGGGGTCCCTAATATTTGGGCCACAGCCCACTAGTGGGCCATGGGAAAACAGCAATCGGACTGCAGAAACAGCGGCCAAGTGCTCACGTGCTTCCCCGCTTGTGTGAGCAGTGGGTGAGTGCCTGCCCATGTGCTCCATTTGCATGAGTGTTAGGTGCGTGTAAATGGAGCTGTGTGTGCGCTTGCCAGCCACGGGCACGGAACCATCCCCTCTCCCTCCACTGATCCGCAAAGCCAGAAAGGTTTGGGAACTCTGACCTACAGTACTACATGGAACTTGGGTGTTACACAACAAGAATCTATGGGATGTATTTCAAACCAGGTTTGAAGTCTTACTCAGCTGTGAGGTTCAGGGGTGAGCAGTTTCTATCTATCAAGTTAGCATACAGTTTCACACATGATTATTTGGGATAAAATAGGAGGATAAAAACAAGAAAGCTGGATAGCAATAATACTTACAAAAAACTAATAACTGTTGCTGCTATTTTTTGAAAACAGTAGCTGAAGAGTGGGATGGGGTGGGCATAAAGAGATTTGATTTATTTAAGGAATTTCTGCTCTTTTTCCATTCTTACATTAGTTGATTAATGCATGTTTTCACTCACGTGTCATTTACGAGTTATCATTACTCCTTATCCATGTCAATGTGATTGATTTGAAGACAGAGCTCAAATGAAAGGAGGCTAAGCTCAGAATCTTAATAAGCAACTGCTGTATATTTGGGAAGTTAACATGGAATAAAATATTCCTTAACAAATCTGCTAGTCTTATCCTAGCTTTTCTTAGGCCGTGTGAAAATACCCTGCACATAGAAGCACACATATTTCCTATGGGACTTGCTATTGGCTGCTGTAGAGTTAGGTGATCTGTTACAAGATGAATTGTACTCATGAAAATGAAAGAGAACCCTTTTCCTATTTTAGCCAATATTAATGCAGGTTAATGTGCTTCTATGGTCATTTTAATTTTTAAAAGTGTATATTTTTAATGTTTTCTCTCTGACAAGGTTAGACATTAAAACATGGTTACAATTCTGCTCATGGACATATATCGATATTGGGAGTGTTAAACTCGTGTCGTCACAATGGCATCATGTGACGTATCAGGACTTTCCCCCCTTTGCTAAATGGGGTGTGGATGTGGCCAGCACGTGACGCATCCAGCCCACAGGCCGGGAGTTTGACAGCCCTGATCTATACTGATATGAGGAACGCTTTATACATAACAAAATGCCAGATTATGCGTTGAAAAAGACTAACAACAGAACAAATGCAACTGTAAATCCTCATTTTCTTTCACCTCAATGCAATTTTGCAAATTTCTGCTGCAATTTACTTCATTTTTCATAATGATATCTCATGCTATAATTTACACATTTGCTTGATGTCAGACAGATGACATGAATTTTCTCAGTGCCATTGCTCTGATTCATTGAATACCCCACCCCCCCACCCCCAATTAGTAGTTCTAATTACGTTAAGAGCATAGATTATTAGAGCTCAATAGGCTAGTACAGGAAAAAAATATTTCAAGGGTAAGCTTTTACATCTAAACAGCTCTAGAATCAATCCTTCTGAAGCTTATACAATAAATGCTTAGGAATGCTTTCTATGTTTGAGTAGCAGTCTTAATGACAATCAACAAAAGGAAAAGAAAGTCATTTTCTTGAACTAGAATAAGAAATGCTGACAAATTTTCACTTGTTAGTTATTTTAGGTAAATGTTTTTTGATGGTACACTCAATTAAGAAATTTGCCCTTGATCTTCATTTATAAATCTAGTCAGCTTTTCCTAACATTTTTAGAAAGCTAGATATAGTTATCCATAGTAGAATCAAACAATGTTGTAAATATAAAAGCTATCGTAGTGATAATTGTCTTAATCTTTCCTTGGCTAGAAACTTTTTACAAAAAGTTACATTATTCAGGTAATGTATGACCACAATTGAGCTGAAAATTTATGTTGCTAAGTAAGAAATTTGTTAAGTGAATTTTGCCCCATTTTACAACTTTTCTTGCCACATTCGTTCAGTGAATCATTGCAGCTGTTGAATTACTATCACTAATTGTTGAGGGAATCTGGCTTCATCAGTCACTTTTTTCAGTGCCGATGTAACTTCGAGCGGTCCCTTAAGTGAATTGTTGTAAGTCGAGAACTTCTTGTAAATGATCTTTCCCTTCCAATAAATGGAGCTATTTTGCTGAAAGCCATTAGGGCAAAATGGATGTTTTCCACCATGTGTCCTTAACCACACTGTTTATCAGCGATGGTGAACCTTTTTTAGCTCGTGTGCCATAAGTGGGGGGAGCGCGGGGTGGTGCGGGCATGCTGCACCCATAATGCAATGCACGACACACACCCTAGCGCGCATGCGCTCCCCCCCATTTTTTGCATGCTTTTTTTGCCCTCCCCAGGCTCCAGAGGCTTTATAGGAGCCTGGGGAGGGCGAAAACAGCCTCCCGGAGGCTCTGGAGGACTAAAAACAGCCCTATGAGCAAACCGGAAGTGATTTTGGTTTTTTGCACTCCGGAGGCTTCAGGGAAGCTCCAGGGGGCGGGAGGCTGTTTTCCCCCTCCCGAGGCTCCTATAAAGCCTCTGGAGCCTGGGGAGAGTGAAAAATGGCTTTAAAAAAGGCTGAACTCAACTTGCCAGCACGCACATGCACGCTGGCTAGCTGACAGGGCAACGCTTCACATGCCCTGACAAATGGCTCCGCGTGCCACAGGTTTGCCATCCCA